CAAATTTTCTTTATTTCTAAGTTTTCCAGAACTCATTTATTGAGATTTCCTTCACTGATATAACAAATGATCCTAAATTTCAAACAAATAGAAACTTAATGTATGTTTAATTTCTGGCCTAGCTTTACCATCAGTCTGATTGCTTATCCCTGTACCTTACTGCTGCCGTTGTTATACTTTATAAAACACTTTAAAAACCAGGAGGGCAAGTCTCCGCTACTGGCCTTTGTTTTGTCCTTCTTTTCTTTTCTTTTTTTTAATGTTTTATTTATTTCTGAGAGAGTGAGAGAGACAGCATGAGCAGGGGAGGGTCAAAGAGAGAGGGAGACACAGAATCTGAAACATTGTCCTTCTTAAAATCTGTTTGGATTTTTAATGTTATTGCACTTAACTTATAGAATGATTTAGATGAAAATTATATGTTAGAAATAACCATCTGTCTAATAACAGAATAATCATTTTTTTATCCATGAGGATCTTATTTTAGGGCATAAGTAGGATTTTTAAAAAATATTATTTTCTTCATGTAAGACCTTCTACTTATTGAATTTCATGAAGAACTGTGAAGGGTCTGAGATTTTTATCCTCTGCAAGCAAACAGGTCAGCCTACCACAATGTCGTGGATATGGTAGAAGAAAGATGGATCCCAGGCCAGAGGCACAGCAGGTGGTTTGTCTTCATGTTCCCACCTGCTTCCTTTGTCCAAGTTCCATGGCGGATGATGTACATGCAGTGGGTTTGTGTCACAGCTCAGGAACTCTAAGCTCAGGAAATCAAATGAGAGGTCCGAATAACCTTCTGTGACCTAACTGGTGAAAAATGAGAGGAGTAAACCAAGGGAGAAGAAAGAGCATTCCAGGCAAAAGGAATTACATATGCAAAGGCCCTGTGGTGGGAGGAATTTGGGCAACTATAAACACTTCAGGAAAAAAAAGTCACTATGGTGATTCCACTGTTTTTCTGGCTCATGGTATCACAGAAAGCTAGCCTGTTTATTTTTCCCATTATAAATGAGCTATTTGCTCTGCCTAAATGCTGATGGATTTTTTCTCTTTGCTTTTGAGTGTATTATTTTCATTAGAATTTGTTGCTGTTCTTTATTCTTAAGGAAATTTTCTTAAGAAACATAGAGCCTCCTCATTATGGAAGACAGCCTGTTAATATATCATTCAGTATTTTCCTTTTCTATTAGTGTTTTTCTAATGTTTATTCATTTATTTTGAGAGAGGCAGAGAATGTGAGCAGTGGAGGGGCAAAGAGAGAGAGAGAATCCCAAGTAGGCTCTGTGTTGTCAGTATAGGGCCCAATGTGGGGCTCAATCTCACCAAACCTGAGATCATGACCTGAGCCAAAATCAGGAGTTGGAGGTTCAACTAACTGAGCCACCCAGGGCTCCCCTTTTCTGTTAGTTTTGATCTTTTCATTAAACATCTGATAAATTGTCATTGTCTATCTTCCACAGTTAGGTCCTCCCTAAAAAAAAAAAAAAAAAAAAATCCCATCTGCCTTGTATCTACTGCATTCCAAGACCTTTCCTTATTTCCAATATTAAGTATTCAGCATTTGTTATTATAACTTTTTTTTTTGATTCATGTCTTAGTTTTGGAAAAGGAAATATTTGGGGACCCTGAACTATTGTTACCGTCATTTCCAGAGTGTCTGGGTCTGTTTTTAAAATACCACTTTGTAAGTGTTTTCCTCTAACTCTTTAAAATTATTCCAAGGAGACTTTCAGAAAATCCCCCATAATTAAAATAAACTCTTCCGTTTTTAAAAGTCTTGTTACTTAAAATTGCATTTACTTGTATATTTATATTGTATTGATTTGTGAGAAGGAAAATAGTATCTTCTTGATCAGTGGATAAACCATCTCCAAGTGTTTCTCCAATTACTGCAGTGTCTCATATGCCACCAATAATAGTTCACTGTAAGGGACCTATGTGGCCAGTCAGTTAAGTGTCCAAGTTTGTGTCAGGTCATAATCTCAGTCTGCGAGTTCGAGCCCTGCGTCAGGCTCTGTGCTGATAGCTCGGAGCCTGAAGCCTGCGTCAGACTCTGCGTCTCCCTCTCTCTCTCTCTACCCCTCCTCTGCCCACGTTCTGTCTGTCTGTCTTAAAAAGAAATAAAAACATTAAAAAATAAAAAAATAGTAATAGTTCATTGTTGCTCCACTAGCATGAAATTCATTACTCAGATTCAGTTTTCAGGAAAGGTCCTTCATACCCTAAGATAGATGCACTTCTGTAGAAGTAAGGAGGTGGCAAGTTGCATAAGTCCTGTTTTTTCCTCACAGTAGAGAAGGAGAATTAGAATAATAGAAAAGCTTAGTTTAAAAGATGGCTTTTCTCTAGAAATGCTTTTTTCTAACATACTGAGAAATTTGGGGATAGTTCAGCATAATTTTGAGTGATACAAATTCTTAGGATAATGTGCTAATTAGTTACCCTTCCTTTACTTTTCAAAACCTATTCAGCAAGAAGACTTTTGTGAGGGAGTGTCTAAGTTAGCAGAAAATCACAATTCACCAGGGAAGGAATGCAGCCAATTGAACCTTCAAAAACAGGAGGAAACAGATTCCATGCCTTCTTTGGACCTGGGTTTTCTCTTATTGACTTTTGATTTTAATGTTAGATACATCGCTGACCTCATCACTAGAGGCAAGGTAGAAAGGTAGAATACCTTGTCCTAGACTAGAAAAAGAAATCCTGTTTCCAAAATCTGTAAAGTTAAACTAAAAGTTAAGAATCAGAAATTTAATCATGATAGCTCAAAATGGGACTCAAATCAAGTTCTACACAGCAAAGATCTTATTGAATAAATTTTGGTGGGTTTTCAATGTTTTGGGAAGCCTCTTTTTTGAAAATGAGTGTTTGGGGATACTTGTTGGCACTGGGGAATGCTGACACTAAGTCTAGAAATGGAATGATTCCCTTTGTTCACATGTTGATGGGTTTGTCTTCATTGATTATAATTCATTGACTGTAAGATGCCCTTTTTAAAAAATATTCATTTATTCTTGAGAGAGAGTGAGAGAGAGAGAGAGAGAGACAGAGCATGAACAAGGGAGGGGCAGAGAGAGAGGGAGACACAGAATCCGAAGCAGGCCTCAGGCTCTGAGCTGTCAGCCCAGGGTCCGACACGGGGCTCAAACTCACAAATGGCGAGAGCATGATTTGAGCCAAAGCCGGCCACCCAACTGACCAAGCCACCCAGGTGCCCCAAGATGCCCTTGATAATATCACACCTCATTTTTTCATGTACCACCGGAAAGAAAAATTGCTCCTTATGGAATTCTGATGTGCTTACAGTGCTTTTAGGGTGCATTGAGGTTTCAGAGATGTTAATGTGTAAAAAAGTATGCATTTCGGAATCAATGAGACAAGATACTTTTCTTACACAAAAACAAGGAAAATTGACATCCTCAACAGCTTGTCTATCTACCTGAAATACCTAACATTAAACAAATTTTTGCTTTAAAATTCTATGTGCTAAGTATGATATTTCTAAGAGCAATCAATATTGTTGAGGGAATAGCATTAATATTCAGAGAATTAACAAAGTGAACAGACATTTGTAAAACATGCCCCAAATTTCCCATCATCTTTTAGGATAGCAAATATCCACTATTTGATATATTCCTTCCTGAGCAAAGCAATCTTGTTCCTACAATGCTGCCCAGACCAGGGAGTAGGGACTGCTTCCTTCATCTTTCCTAATTTTTCCTGCAGCCTTTTGAACAAAAGCTTCTTATTTCCACTGTTGGCTACCATAATCCTCAGAAGTGAGTTTTGTTACCTAACATCATCCCTGAGTTAGACTCTAAAGTTCTGTTTGACTTATTACATTTCTGAACATCCAAGGGAATCTGACCTGTGAGCTAATGATACCACTGAGCTCTCTGGGTTGGAGTTGATCAACTACTTCTTGCTACAAGATTTAGGCAACTCTACTTGAAGGAACTTGTCATTAGTATTGTTTTTAAGTTTTGTTTATTTTGAGAGGGGGGAGGGGCAACAACAGGGAAAGAGAGAATTTCAAGCAGGCTCCGAGTTGTCAGTGCAGAGGCTGATGTTAGGCTCGAGCTCATGAACCATGAGATCATAACCTGAGCTGAAGTCAGACAGCATCCCTGTCATTAATATTTTTAATGCTACGAATATATAGCATGTGGGGTGTCTGGGAGAAAGGATGTGTCCATAGTGAACAATTATCAACAGCAATGACAAGAATGACTATCTTTGTCATTGATGTTATTTTACCATATTTCCTTTTATCTTTTCACCACCTAAAGTTTTGCATAGTGGAGATCATTTTTACGTGCAATTTATGAGATGCTTTTTTACTCAACCTCATGTTATTGAAATAATATTATTAAAGGCCTTTGACCAGGTGATTGTTTTATTCTGGATATGTTAACTATTCTTCTATTGCTTGTTATTTGGGCTCCAACCATTTTATTTTTGCAATTCTAAATCATGCTAAAATGCACATCTCTGTAGGTAAATCTCTATCCACATTTTAACCAAGGGACATAACTTTAATACAATTGATTTGTATTGTTACATTTCTTTCATGGGAAAAATAAAGGTCATAACAATTTATAACCCAACCAAAGGGACAGAAGTGTACGGGAGGGAATAGTTGTATTTATCTAATACTATTGTTGTATCACTTCAAGGTTGAACACATTGATAAAGTCATCTTGTTGCTGGTGACACTATCAGTTACATTTGGAGCTGGGAATCTATTGTTCTCTCCACCTAGACAGTATCTTCCCTACTTCATTATAGCCCTGTGGAAATTTGCTCTCCTTGAAATGATTCCAGAAGCCCACCGGCACTATAAAAACTCCTAGTGGTGCCTGGCTCTCTCGTATTTGGTCTGCCCCTCCAATAAAGGATAGGTATGGCCAAAAACACCAAATGGGATACATGTTTGCCTTGCAAACCAACCAAACCCTTCTGTTTTTGTTTTGCTTTGTGTCTGGACTAATTCTTAGCACCTCTTCTGCCTGTGAGTGATTTGTCACTTCCTTCTGTAAGACTGGCACCAGCAGACATGCAGTCTCAGAGGATCCCGGGGAGAAAGCGAGGCCGACCCCCACTGCACTCGACACCTATGAAGATGGCAGTGCATAACCTTTATTCTGCTTCAGCTGGTTCTTTGCCAGCAGTGAAGATCCCAAAGAAAAGAGGGCGGAAGCCTGGGTACAAGGTACGGCTCCATCATCTCCTTTCTCCACAGTGACGTTGGGCTGGGGCACGGCTGCTTGGGCAGAGCCCCACTGCAGAATGTGAGGAAAGGCGGGCAGGTAATGACAGGATGAGAAGTAAGTTTCTCTCAATGAAGCATGTGACAGACAAGGCCTCATTGTTCCAACAGGGCACACATTGCATGCTGTCCCTGTCGTGTGCATTTGTACAAGTGGAGAAAGCAAATTGCACCAGATGGGGAAAGTTGTAAGGCGAGCAGATTTTAGGGTCATGGCTAAACACACATTTTAAGCCTTGCATCTAAATTAGTGTTTCCGACACTGAATTTTCCCCTCACTGTGCCTACTAGGGCGGCGCTCAAAGCCACTTTCCAGAACTCCTTCGTCATTTATTTTAGTAAAAGCAGATGATGTTCCTGAAACATTTACATTAATAATGCGTGCAGCCTAGTGTCAAAGGACATAGAGGAGTTTTCCCAAACAAAGCCTAAACAAGGGGGACTCATCATGAAAATTCAGAGTGTTAATTCATAGTTTCCTGCTTATAAAAAAGTGCTGACGTCAAGTTTGGCTCCAAGGAAGCATATCAGGCAGAATTAAAATCCCGTGACCCTTTGAAGAATTAACAATTTGGAGTGGCAGGGGGTGGAAAAGAAATTCTCTGATGTAATTGCAATCACATAAAGCAATCTGAACCGGAGGAGGGAGAGCTTCTCCTCCAAGATGTTTTTGAAGAGGCTAGTAGAGAAGAAAGACTATTGAGTTCGTTCTCCACGAGCCTTTCGGGCATTAGAAAATGAGCTTCAGAAGTTTTCCTTCATTTATTTTCTTGAAATAAAGAGCTTATGTTTCCATCTTGAGATCTGAATACTCAAACAAAATGCAAATTGGCAATTAACTCCCATATATTTAGGAAAATGTATGGAAATTATTTCAGGTCAGCGGAAAGACAAAGCTTCCGGAAGAATCGGTAACGAATTCAACCTTTATCCCTTTGGTTCTCTGCAGTTCTTCCAACTGCTGGAAGATAAAAATGGGAGGTAGGGGGAAGGAGACTCAAAGTTGTTTGGGGGTCATGGGTTTTAATAAAAGGAGCTTTTACTCAGCCATCTCATGAAGTAGTCTTCTGTCACCAGTTTACTCAGCCATCTCATGAAGTAAAGTCTTCTGTCACCTCTCTTTTCTAAAAAGAGAGCCTCCTCTTTCTCATGGACACCTCAGCTTCAGAGCTGTGTCTGTGTCCGGCACAGGGCAGGCCCTCCCAGCTCGGCTACCTGCACCATTGCTGCGGTCTGGGAATTGCATCTGGAAGGCTGGAGCAGGGCAGCCCTTCTGTTGATAGAGCCAGGGAGCAAGTCCAGGATCTGAAGAAACACACTGAAAACTTCTCTCTCCTATTTGGCCTTTCTCCTACTCCCCTGGGAGCTGTGACCCAAGAATGAAAATTACCAACAGACACAGCATTTCTAGGGCCAGGAAAAATGGAAATTCGGTCCATGGAATGAGCCCGACTTGGCAATTTTCCTGTCTCCTAAAAGGGGTAGTTTTCAGGGCTCCTAACACTCAGAGACACCTCCGGGCAGGAAGAAAGCTTTTGGAATAGTTAGCTGACAATGTGGGCCTTGCACAGGGCAGGCAGGTCCCATGTCCATGCTTCACAGAGCTACTTGGCCAGGGGCAACATGCCACAGCTCTTCCTTGGGTCTACCTTCCGTGTGGACTGTGGGAACCGTGTGGGAATTATTTCAGGCCAACATCCCAAACAGTTCCCCAAGTGTTAGAGAACGGTGCCAAATCAGGTGCCTGTCTGTAGGAGTGCTAACTCCCTCGTGATGACACGAGAAACCTAAGAACAGTGTGCGGATCTTCATAAAGCTAAAATAATTCCACCCAAAGGATCATCCTTTGTTCTGAAATATCTGCTTCTTACTCTTTTGGTGTTAGAGTTTGTTTTCTTTTATTTAATTGTATGTCGTAAGGATTTGGTCATTTAAAAAATGTCCTTACTTCGCAAAATCAATTTGGCAACCTATTAAGTCTCTCCAGTTTTATTTTGACAACTTCTTAGACCCAGAAGTCCCATTTTACTACTAATCAAAAGGTTTTAATTGTGGAGAAGCCAGTGAGGAAACTACAGTTTTGTTCCATTTACCAAATGGCCACTAATTTGGCAATTTTAACTATCCGAGATACAGTTGGGGAGCCAGAAGTTGTTAAAAAAGAAACCCTGAGCAAGCGAAATAAGATATTACTTGGTCCACCCTTAAATGTCATGTATTTTATTGTTAAGAAAATGCTTCCAAGTCCTCCTTCAGAGTCTATTTACCTTTATTGTGTATGCATTTCTTACACGCTTGATTATAGCGATTTAATAGTCTTAGATTTAAAGGGGAAGACATTTTGGGGAAGAAGACTGCACACATAGCTGGGTACTGAAAGTATAATAATTATTGTTATAATTAAGTGATGTTTTATTAATGATGCAGAACAGTAAAAATACAAAAACATTATCAATAGTATAAAATAGTAAAGAACAAATTTGTTATTTCAATAACGTCATTATGGTACATTCATCCGAACAATACTGTCGTAATGAAATAATCTGTGTTTGAGTCTTTGGAAGGCTCCTGAGTCTTGAGGATGCCTGTTGTGCTGACTGCATCACAGATATATACTTGTTGACATTTGTCACTTCTTGCCTGGCAATCTCCCAAACTGCACTGTCGATCACCTCTGTGCTCTGGCACAGGTGGAAACTCTCTCTGGTCCAAGAATGTGCACAAGATCTCCCGTTAAGACCCAAGCACAGCTAACATGGGCTGTCATATTTAACCCCTTCTCTGGGTCTTGAGAATAATATCAGTGAATTAAAAGCAGAAAAGGAAGAATTCAGTGGGTAGTCAGATGTCAGTGCTCCAGAGTTCATAGGTCATGCCTCCTCCCAGGGCCCATCTGCCCATGTCTCTTGGCCCAGGCCTGCAGCCACATTGCTGGGGCATGCTCACTGCCAGAAGAGCATCATTTTATGGCCTTACAGCCTTCTTCACACCCCAGTCAAAGGAAGCAAAAACCTCTTAACATCATATTTTCTCTGAAGAGCCATACGCCGACTGCCTGAAAACAGCCTTCTTCACTATCAAACAGAATTTACATCTCAGTTTGAAGCATCTGCTATTAGTTTAGTTCAGAGACAACCAAGGTCAAAGATAGATTTTCCTTATATTTTGTGACTAAAAAGACCATTAAGGTCTCTTTTAAAGAGATAAAGAGAGTCTGCATCAAGGAGAAACTCAGCCTCTATTCTGTACAGGCAGCTGATTGTACCGTCAGCAAACAGTGAGACTTCCAGCATTTGTGTCTTTATGATTGAGAATATGATTTAAGCAGGAAGAAAAAAGTGTTGGGTTGTAAAAGTAGCTGCTTGTCCCCTATGCATCATCATCATTACCATCATAATTAATACTTATAGCAAGAATAGTCATATACAACATTTATTGAGCACTTCTGTGCTTCTGAGGCTCTGGACCAAAGCATTTTGTGAATATTTTCATATTTGAACCCTGATAAGTGAGGGGAGTTAGAAAAACTGCAGGAATTGGGTATGAGTGAACCAAGTCCCACAGCCTGAGGCTGCTTACTGTCGGGCCAGAAGTCTTCTAGACCTTGGCAATCTCTTTGTGTTATTGTTCAGAATAGTAATTACGCTTTCCCATTTACTCTTTCCAAAAGAATAAATTATGTCCTGTCTGCTCTGTTTAATGAGCTTAGAAAAGTGTAACATGTTTAGAAAGAAGATCATCTCTAAAATATTAAAAACAAATGGTTAACATGTTCTGAAATATTGGTAATTGTGTCATTGAGAATACAAATCTGGCTGCTGTAACCAAGGCCAAACAACAGTGGCTTAAAGAAAATGGAAGCTAACTTCTTTCTTATGTTAAAGTCTGGGAAGCCCATCTGAGGATGATATGATGCCTCCGTGGTGTTGGGGACCCAGTCTCTTGCTCTGTTGTCACTCTGCTCCTCTTAATACAAAGTCCCTACCTCATGCTATAAAATGGTCCCTCCAGTTCCCTTTACCCTGCTAGTCTAGCCAGCCAAATGGGGGACAGTGGTAGTAGAGGCATGTCTTTCCCCTTTAAGGACTCAATATTCAAGGCTGCACACACTCCTTACACTTACATGTCACTGGTCAGAACCTAGTTTTTTTAAAGTTTATTTATTTTTAGAGAGAGAGAGCACACATGCACAAGTGGGGGAGAGGCAGAGATAGAGGGGGAGAGAGAGAATCCCAGATGGGCTCTACACATGGGGCTCAAACTCAAGACCCTGGGATCAGGACCTGAGCTGAAATCAAGAGTCAGATGCTCAACCGACTGAGCCAGCCAGGTGCCCCACAACATTAGGTTTTATTCTCTTTTTTATTGTCATCCTTTTCTTCCTACTTCCCTACCCCCAAAAGAGTATGTGTTCTTGGCATTGTGTAACAAGGAGGTCAAATTCACAAAAATCTCAAGTAAGAGAATGTTCAAACTTAAGTGGAAAGTGTTTTGTTTGTTTCAACACTTGTTTAAAGTCTCTTTCTGAAATGTGTTTTCATTGAAACTGTCAAAACGGCTTCGATGATTCTTTGACTGTCCGGAACTTGTGTTGTCTTAGAGCCTATGTCGGAACACCAAATGTAGCATAGTAGTGTGCAAGGCAAGAAGAGATATGAATAATCCTTCCTGTCCCTATCTTCACAGTCCCCCTTCCTGATGGTGGGCTCAGTGCTGCACTTGTGCCCCGTGGAGGAAAATGATTACACAAGCACAAACAAGCAGCCCCTAGGGTAGGGACCATCTCTCCTGTGGTTTTCTGTTACCCTCCAGCCCCAACCCCGGGGCTGGAGCGAGGGCCAAGGTTGATGGCGCTGTGGTGGGCGTGAGGCCCGGGCGTGCTGGTTAATGATTCCCCACCAGCGCTCTGAGTGTAACTCGGGCATGAATGCTAGTCCATGTTT